TATGTGGCGGAACTTGTGCCATTGCACCAAGTGAGGAAACTGCTATGTGAATCTAACCTTGACAAACCAGACTCTCTAGTTACCGCCTCATGTCTTTACCTCTTTCAATTGTAATTGTGGCAGCAAGTAAGTGGGCCGAACTGAGAGAAGGCTGTCAATCAGGAGGTTAGAGCACATTCCACGTAATATGGTCCCGAAGCGTTCCAAGCTGCCGGCAAGCTTCATTGCCCAACACATCCTAGGACTGCCCTGTATGTCAAAATCCCAGCAAATCATTCAGGATAATTAACCGACAGAGCAATCCTCGCCTGCTTCAGTTTGCTAAAGCTTCAGGAATTCGGCGGCTGAAAGCTAATTTCGGCAAACAGACTGAATTTATGACTAGTCACACTTGTCTTGGTAATTTTGTTGTTGCTGATTGTTTCAAATTTAAACCGAATGACCTTGGATGTTGTTTGTTTTTAAACGCAACACCATTTTCCACAGCTGATGAGAATACCCGGAATATCTGAATTCGGAGTGTCCTGTTGAAATGTTGTTCTCTCTTGCTATGTTAAAACTTGTCAAGGGAAAATCCTGCATAAAACAAGAAATAGTCACTTTCTTATTATTGGCGATTTCAATATCCACGCTCTGGAATCTCATGGCGTTCCTGAAGAACAGCTTAAGGCGGATGTACAAGAGGTTATCTCCAGTTTCTTGTTAGATGGTCCCATCAACACTTCCATCAGATCTAGAGAAACAGATAAACCGTCTATACTGAATCGGATATTCGCAAATGAAGTATTGATGGTCGAGAAAGTAATCGCCGACGTACCCTTGTGCCGCAGTGATCATGTAGTCCTACTCTTCGAATACATCTGTTATGCAGAATATCCTGTGGAAATTGCCGACGCAACGAGAACGATTATATTCTACGATATATTAGCTGGACCAAGTTAGAAAACCAATTCGACCTTTATGGCAGACGAGGCACCGGCTAGCGAGTGGGAACATTTCGTCAGCCAGTTTAACACTGGTTGGCGAAGTAGTAGCGACTAAGAATGACCACCAGAGAAATGTGGTCTCGTTTGTGCGAAGGAGGACACGGAAGTGTATAGTGATGCGAAACAGCCTGGCACATCTATAAACTCTCTCCGAGCACAGTGACCTGGATGGTCTATGCGACCCAACGTAACCACTGTACTCAGGTTGTTCGCGAGGGTAAGAAGTCATACCAGCAGAAGTTGGTAATGCGTATGGCCACAAACGACAAGCTTCTGTACCAGCACGTGAACAGTCTACGTAGGGTGAAATGGGGAATTCCCCCCATACAAATGGCGGAGGGACTCACACGTAGACCGAAGGATGTGGCAAATACTGGGCCTGCAATATGTTCCAGCCATTTAGTGCGACCACTGGACACCTAACCCTATGACAAGGGGTGTCTTACTGCCAAAATTCACATATCCTACAAGGCAAAAGCTGTACTATAAAAGATGTTGAGTATGCGAAAGCGAGGCTCTCCTGGAGTTGATAATATACACCCGAAGTCACTAACTGCGGTAGGAGGGTTTAACAGAGCATTTGGCTAAATTTTTCAACATTGTTTTGACGAAATTCACGAGCCCGACACGTGGACACAAGGGATAATTACTCCGCTAATCACAAGGGAAGTAGTCATTCCGATCCAGACAACTACCGTCCCGTATACTTACTACTGGTCATAGAAGCTATTATGTATGATGTGCGAGTGATCTACATGGAAGAATTTAACTATGTTGCACCGGAGCAGCACTGCTTGCGACGAAATTGATCGCGCACTACAGATCTGCTGCTAGTACGATGCAGCTGGACCGGCGCAGTAGAAACTGGCACAGGAGTTGGTGTAGTTTTTCTGGACTTCTGACCGGTTAAACCATGACATACTGCTCTTCAAACTATAGATGTAGGTTACTGGTGACCCTCTCCTAGGGTGGATTAGAAGCTTTCACCTACACCGGCGCTTGGAACTAACAGTGCGTGAATCCCAGTCAGATCCCATCCAATTTGAATGCAGAATACCACAAGGATCAGTGGTAGGACCTCGTTGATTTTCGGTATATATCTACTATATCACACGCGTTATTAGCGCGAAACTCCTGGTTCATGCCGATGAGATCAAAATGTGGAGAGTGATCAAAACACCAGATGATATCACAATACTCCAAGCGAACCTAGATAGGGTTTACGCGCAGTCATTCCAGATTCTACTTCGATTTAATATGGAGTCATGTAGACGGTTGCACTTACAGAACCAGCTGGCGTGCTCCTACAAACTCGGCAACCAAAAGCTTCAAACGCTTTCTAGCGAAAATGATCTGAGCGTTTTAATCCAGGCCGATCTCGAAGGGCATTCAACACATGGGTCTCCTGAGGCGTGCATTCGGACGATACGACCAGTTGATTTTTCAACAGCTTCTAGGCTCACAGGTACATCCACATGTGGAATACGCAACACAGGTCTGGCTAAGGAGAGATCTCACCGCCTTGGAGATACTTCAACGCCGGGCAACAAAGAATGCCAAAGGTTTGTATAATTTGCCGTATGCACTAGAGCTTCGAGTGCTCGGAGTCATTAGGAGACAATACCGGCGACTGCTTGGGGACGTCATTCTGACTTACCAGATTTTGAGAGATCCCAACCACACGTGCCACTAGTTGCTGGAGCTCAGTCACAACAGTAACTTGAGAGTCCACTATCTCAAGTTGGTAGAGAAGTAAAGTCGTTTGGAATGCCGTCGGAATTGCTTTTTTGTACGCGTTTGCCAAGTGTGGAATGCCTTACCGGAATCTGTCATCTGTGCTCCGAACCTGGCAGACTTCAAAGCCCGAGTTGACCAAGCACTCATTTTGCTGCATTCTCTCACATGACTCACTGATCATGCCTAAACATGAGTTTATGTTGGAGATTTCAGTGTGGCTTGACTCCAAACATACGTTCCACGCTTAGTACCAGGAGGCGGCACAATGCTCACTAATGTCCCATTTGCCATCATTCCTCATGGATTTACACTTCATACTACGTATACTACTGTGGGTCGATCAGTGTGAATCTAATTTTGCTGGCAATTTTGCTATATTTTGAATTTACGCTATGACCATCCCACAGGACTCGTTAACATTTAACCGTATGAAACCATTGTTCCTGTGCATCTTCCAAATGCTATTCCCTAGCACGACAGCAGGAGTGCTAGCACTTATTGATCTGTTGGCTGGATCGTCACTGACCGTCCAAAGCGAAATGAACATCCTTTACTATGCAGCTAACATAGGTCGAGTGTGCCCGATACTGAGGCTGATGTTGCATTCTTGGTGCTTTTTCACCGCAGTTGGGCTAAACCAACTTACACTTAAACTAGGTCTTTTTAAGCTGGATAAATTTCATTCCACTTTATTTGGCTTGTTCTGCCTACCTGAATAATCTTATATTAACTGGCCACGTTGCTTACACTAATTGCGCTTATCTTCGATAACTCTGTTGCGTTTGTAGCATTTTAAGTAAGTTGTGGACATTTTTTCCTTATCGCGGATTCGTTGCTAACCAACTTACTTCATATGCTAATTTGGCGAAGAGTTATGCCACCGTATCTGTATGCATTATTGGATTTATTTTATTTCATCTTGTCGTTTCAAATGATTGGCTGTTGCTTGATATTCACTGTTTGGCTGCGCTTGATGTGTATGTTGACAAGGTGCCTACCTGTCTATTACTCACTACCTCGTCCATACTGGCTCCAGGAGACAGTTGGTCGTTGCTGGAGGGGACGGGGTGCACGGTCTTTGTGGTCGTGCTAGGATCAAAGAGTGATTCCATGCACTCAGTGTGGAGCGGACTACGGTCCAGCCACCGCCTTGTGTGCACTTGATTCCCCAAATACAGCGTGCTTATGTTTGCCTGTGAAGGAGTGTGGGCCGGCTCCGTTGATGAAACGTGGCTCCCATCCACATGCCTCCCGGTCTTATTCCTTCGGGTTTACACTGGATATGGGGTGTGTGGTGGGAACTGTGGGTGGTGCAGCGCAAGCAACCCGTGGTCCCTCTGAAGGCACAGGCGTCCTGTGGCTGCCCTTGTGGAGGCCACAGTGACAGACAAACCCGAAACCGGATGCCGCCAAGCTACATAGGTTGAGTGGCGAGGACACGACTATGAAAGTCGCTTACAAGCCATTAGCCAAGTGGCTAGCGCTTTCGTCTCAATTCCGCGCATACATAAGAACATTGACAAGAAGCAAAGATAAGAGAAAGTGCAAAACGTGAATTTGAGTTGCACGTAGATGGATGTATCTACTAACCTGACTTCCTACTTTATCATTTATTAGGCTAAAAGGCAAAAATGCCATCCGAAGTGAAAAAGGCCTCGAACTAACGGAAGAGCAGGTGTTTGGAGAGACTAGAGGCAAGCGGACCAAATGAAATAAATCCCACTGCCGCAAATTGCAATATGATATGATAGTGCCATGTGAGCGCCTCATGTAGGGTAAGGTGTAGTCAGTTAACACCAATGTTAGTACCCAACGAGGAAAGTCAGTTCAGATAGAGGCGAAGACAAATGCCACCGTTGGTTAAAAAGTCATCTAGCAAGTTAAACAGATCGGTTGCGCTTACTTCCGTGCATTGATAAGTCAAAGTGTTAATAAAGTTACTGAGGAAACTATGAGGTCGAAGGGTGGAAATGATAAGCGAGCGAAAGAAAGCTAACACAAAACTTGTTTTGCCATGGAGGAATGACGGGAAAAGGTAAGCAAATTAAAATAATCAAAAAAGATATCTAGATTTATCAGGATATTGAATGAATAAGCATCGAAAAACAACAGCTTATAATCTCGATAAACTGAGATAGGAACAACCGAGAACAAAACGTTTAGGAATTAGGCGGAAACTAATACGAAAGGCCGGTTTCCAGGGGCGTACAATACGAGCTGATGAAATGTACAAAGAACGTAGTAAAACAGAGAAAAATGGTAGTTTCCAGGACATACCTGTAGGGAGGCTAGTACTTGATTTTTCGTTCTGAAAGTATAGAAAAAGGACGTTAATTAGTGAAATGAAAACAGGACGAACTAAAGAGAACATGATCCAGAAGATGAAGTACTGTTCACAGAAAACTAAAACAAGTAACCAGTTATAAAGATGTCATTAATACGTTACCTATGATACACGCAGGTGTAGGACGATTGCGGGGAATGTAAAACCGCTAGGTACCGGTGCATGAAATATACTACAGGGTTTGGGAAACAAGAAAACAAAGGCGTATAATGCATGTCATTGACTAACAGCTTGCAGTATGATCTGTGGAATCAACATTTAGCGGCGAAGACGAAAATGAAGAAAGTGTTGTCACCTGAAAATCAGGCGCCACGGACTGTGGCCGTTGCACTTGACGTGTTGGAAGTGGGAAGTAATGTGTGTGTGCGATCTCCAGAAGACAAAATGCCGAAGCCAGACCGCCTGAAGGTCTTGACTGACCACCAGCAGGGTTAAGTGTAGGAGAATGAGCGCCGTCCGCACGAACAGCTCCAGGGGTGGGTACAACCAAATCTGGCCGAAGACTGTGTGCAATACCGGAAGAGATTTTCCGCAGGACCCAAACCATTGCCTTGTACTGATTCCACGTAGCTATAGCCTGAAGACACCAGAAGTGCCGTTATCAGCAGCGAATGGACACAATGAAAAATAACGGTTACCTGACAAAGAGACTATGCAAATACATGACATCAAAAACTCGTGTCCTCGCGGCATAATGAACAAGGTTCAAGAAAAGAGCCAATCGTAAACAAAACGAAGTCATGGCTATCCGCATCTAGGCAGCTACCAAATACCGGGCCGAGTAAAAGCCCACGGTGCGATGCCGATTGCGTCATCCACCAGGTTGGCAGTGGTAAGAATTGGCAGGTTGATTGTTTACTTAGTTGAGTAAAACGAACGATGTATTTTGGTTTAGGAGTGAAAATGGATCAGCTTCAGCTGTTTATCACGTTGCCAGAAAAAGCGGCAAGTAACCGTGGAAACCAAATGTCCACCTAAGACATAAAACGAAAAAGCTGATCAAGTGAAAAGGTTCAATTGATACTGGATCTACTGCATAACCGTAAAACGGTTCTACCGCTGCCACATTTGATCCTAAAGTGCTAAAATAGGGCAGAACCCAAAAAGCCAAATTCGGTCTTCAGTCGCAGTTTTCATGTACACTTGTTGTATCAACATATGGTCAAAATGGTGACGCAGCTATGTACATCGACCGAAAGTGACAGAGTCCCAAGTCAGTGCAGTGGAGAATAGCAAGATCACAGTGAGCACAAATGGGCGTTGAGCGCACATGAGGAATACACTATACCCAATATTTCTACAGATGATCAAGGCTGCGGAACGAAAAACCGAAATGCCGTATTCGCACGGCTATCGCAATGGTGACATTTCACTAATGTGGGAAAGGAAACCAAAAGCAACAAGGCGGTCACCTATTTACAAGGGTTGCTCAGCAGCGGCTAGAAATGGTGGTTTAGCTTAGTACAATAAAAGCTTGACAGGTGCGAAGCGCATGTCGGGACCTGACATGTCCGGCACAGCATCAAGTTAGTGTAGAAAATCGAACGCATCACAACAAGGAAACCCAGATAGGTTTACGCATCTTTCGCTCACAAATTACAATGGGAACAAACAAACAAGCAAAGACACAAGAACGGCCACTCCAATAAAAGTTCGTTTAATCAACTAACTGGTTTGAAGATCGTGGATAACAGACTAAATATTACAGATTACATAAGCAAGAATGGAACACAATACTAAAAGCACATTACGCACTGGATGGAGATCGTCGTTGGAAGGGGAAGCTAAAAAGGAGGGAACAAAGAGACTCACAACACAAGCGCCATTGTTGTCGGCTCTTCGACATGTCGGCTAAGGTATCCAACCAAACGTGTTTTTCGTCCTTTGGACCCCAGCCAAGCAGTCGGGATGCACCAACCGACGCCAACTTCGAAGTGAGGGTTTTCATTTCTCTCGACCAAGTCATCGCTTGGCCTCCCCTCCTCCTCTTCCAACCGTACACCTGGCGCGCAAACAATGCACGTCGCGGGAGTCGGCATGTGAAACACGTGGCACAGACATCGGAGCTTGGTGCGTGATATAATGGTGCTGAGCGGTTCACTCACTCTTCCTGCACCAAATACGCGACGCCGAACACGCTTATTGCTCACGCGATGCTCCCACCAGACATGAACTAAGCTGCGAAGGCTGCGATGGTCGAACGTAACAAGCCTTTCTATGTCTGTCACTTTGATGGGCCAAGTTTCACAACCATACAGGAAGGTTGAACGGATGGCCGCATTGTAAACACTATTCTTCAGAGTTAGAGTAATGTCACGCCGGCACCACAGATAGGAGAGATTAGCAAAAGCATATCGAGTTTTTGCTATGCCGTTCGCCATCTCATCTTCGGTTCCGCAGGTGCTGATAAAGCTGTCTAGATACTTGAATTTCTCGACGATTTCTAGCTGACCACCGCCAAGGGTCAGTAGAGGAGCGGGGTCATTGCCAATCTTGGAGAAGAACTTTGCATTGTAAGGGTACAAAGCGTAGGCCGAAACGATTGACAGTCAGAATTAGTTTATTCAGTGAAGCTTGGCAAGTTCGGACACTATCACAGATGAATGCGATGCCACCGGCATACTCCAAGTCGGGAAGTCGTTCACCAGGGAGCAGTTCCACAACCCTCCAAGTCGTGCCTGGCGAACGCCGTTTCCATGACGTGGTCCGTGGCGAAGTTAAAGAAGAAAAGTGACAACGAGCAACATTGTCCCACACAACTGGGGATAGAGAAGGGCGGCGACAGCTAGCCGTACCTCCCCACTGCCCGAGCTACATGCGTGTAGCGCTCGGATAAAGGTTACATATTTATCGGGCACATCTTTGATGAGTAGACCGTCCCAAAGGGCACATCGACCAACCGATTCAAAGGCGCCTACGATGGTGGATAGGGAATAAACATGGTGGTGCTCCAACAACTGACGTAGACTGAAGACGTAACCAATACCTCCTCGATTTCGACGAACTCCAGTCTGCTCCTCACGAATGTGGCTTTCACGAGTGCCAGTCAGTCTGTGGAGAACGACATACGCAAGTAAGAGTTAATGGGAATCATATTGATTCCTCTATGACTGCCGTATTCAGAACAGGGGCCTCCCTTCAGAATTGCAACTATTGCCGAGCGCCTCCAGTCTGTTGGGATAGTCTTCTACTCCCATAGATTCACTAATAACTTAGGCTAATCGTCCAAAAGAGCAGATCCCCCAAATTTGAAGAGGGCTGAATGAAGTTCTTCTACTCCGGCAGCTTTGTCCAATGTCAGCCGTCTGATCCCACATTCAATTACTTCGCGCGAGGGCGCATCCCAGGGGACGGTCCAGGGAGTAGCGCGTTCATTGGCCGATGAAGAAACTGGCAACTATGACTGATAAAACTGCTACTCAAAATGTTCGGCCCAACGCTCTAAGCGCTTTGACAAGCTGTACATCGGCTGTCCACTCCCGTCGCGTATGGTCTCGCTAACACCAGGTTTCCTGCTGTCCGTTTCTAGTATCAAACGGAATAACCTCCGATGGTTAACAAAGGCAGCGGCCGTCTCCATCTCCGTTGCGCGATGAGACCATCAGGCTTCGTGGTCTCTCTTCAGGCTGACATACAGTTTCGCCCTGAGATCTTTGCGAGCCTAATTGTATTCTCTTCTGGCAGGAACAGGTAGGCCTTCACCAAGTAGTTCTAGACACCGGGTAGAGATCCAATGTGCGGGTTGGCAATTTGATTTACCACATGATGACATGCCCGCTGCTAATTAGATCTAGCGGATATGTGACCAGTTATCATCAACTGTGTTCAGTGGGCGTTTACTCAGCTAAGATGCCAGCGTACTTTGATATACATTCAGAACATCTGGCTTCGGCAGCTGGCGAAAACCCTCGCGTTCACAGCGCCGTTGCGGACGTCCACCGAAACGTACCCGGAGGTCGGCGTAAACAAGTGCGTTGTCAGGGTACACGATCGGGCTTCAAATCGAGCGACAGTAAGGTACGCATGCTCTCCAGCGATAACTGATCGCGATGTGATCGATCTGCGTCCATGGCTGGTGGGCGTCATGTCACTCTCCGGCGGGTGCGGTGTCGGAAGTTAGTCCTCACAAGAAATAGGCAAGCATCTACAAACAGGCGCAGCAACCGCACACCATTATCATTACGGGTGCCTACAACAAGTTGGTAAACCAGATGAAGCTCATCAGCGGACAGATTTCCGACTTGGGTGTTCAAATCACCAGCAAGTAACACAGTATCCGCACTTTTCTGTGAAGGAAGAGCACGCTTAACCCATTCGCGTATGAATCTTTGGAGTGATGATTGTAAATTATTTCAACAATTGTGTAAGAAATCATACAAAAATTCAATAATAAAATTCAAAATCATACAGGGCAATGTCTCTGCAGTGGACTGCATGCATCAGAGGTCATGGAAACAGCCTGTGCAGCTGTAGAACGAGCCAATGGTAGCCATCTACTACAGTGACCTCAGTGCACGAAAGAGTTAATTGGTGATAGAAGTCGTCTTTCACCGAGTCTGCTACAGTTTGTGGGCGCCTATGCCTCAATGATAAACAAGCACCGTTTGTCCCCAAGCCATTTAGATGCTTTGAACGAGCCAGTAAATCTCTGACAGCACACATCTGGCTGTTCATTTGGATCTAATCGATCAAGGCAGATTCAGCCCGAGGGCAAAGAGCAGTGTCCACACCGGCCTGAAAGGCATTTGAAGCCGCTTCATCTCCGGACAAACGCAATGAGAAAATACCGTCAGTGATGCATGTTGGGGATTGCAAGGTAATCACATAAGTCGAATCATACAGGCGAAATTATGAGAAACAGCAGACATTGATCGATAGGGCCTACAGTGTCCGGACAAGTGTTGCCTGTTGGTCAGTTTACATCAAGCTGCGCACATTGAGGAATGCCAGTCTTAGGGAGGACCGGGAGCTCCAAATAGGAGCAAAATTGACGTTGTCCGTTTGGCAGGACAGGAACTTACCGACTGGGCGAAACGATGCCCTGCGATTGCGTTTTACTCGAAATTAGAAGACGAACGATTACTGAAAAAAGATAGGGAGGGCCAAGAATTGGGGTAATGTAAAAAGGCGGATAAAAATGAAGTTGGAAAGGGACAATAAGTATGAAAAGCGTAAAAAGGGGAATAAGAAGCCAGTAAGGCTTGAGAAGCAGCATAACCCAAGCAACCATGCTCGATGCATCAGATAGAGCGCCGTTTATTACCCTCTGCGACGGCCAGAACATCAAGAAATTGTTTAAAATAATATTCATTGTACTGCGTGGGTGAAATACTGTCAAGTTGCCCAGGCCCAGACATGAGAACGATTAGTGTTTTAAACCAAAGCCTTGGGATTAAAACCTAACCGCAGGCAGCGGGATTTTGGCATTGGACTATAGACAGCCCGTTTTCTGGAGTAAGAATACCGTAACCATGATGCAAGTCACCAGATTAACAATAAATAACAACGATCAGAAAATGAGGTCGAACGCAAACTGTATATAAAGAAAGTGGAGTCAAGTAAGAATTGCGCGAAATTAAACCGGATTGCAAAATGCAAGAAACCCAATGCAAGTGAGACATTCGCTTTGCGGCTGCGCCGTATGAAGTCTCACACCACAAATGTGTGACGTATCAAGACCGTCATAAAGGAACATGGCACAAACGAAGGCGCCCAGAAAGCACACGGCCGAAGAGCATTAGAAAACACTCGAGTAAGGCACCAGAGGGTATCTTGCCAAAAAGCTAACCGACGGAACACAGTATTGCTCCCCCGGTGTTCGCACCACATGCGAGCAACGCTCCGCTAACACCCATGATCAAACACGGCCAAGTACTTAATGTCTTCACTGCGAACTGGTTAACTAGCTGATCCGCATAGTAACATCCGCCGTGTCGCAGCGTTATACACCCTACCTTCTACTGACTGCCTAATATCCCACCGTCTCCATAAATGATTCAGTCTTTGAAAAGACACACTGGCCTTGCAGACACGCAAAGTAACAACCGCAATGGTTTGACCCAACACTTCAAGTGGTTATTCGGTGATAGCGACAATGGTGGCTGGTCGGACCAGCGCTGATTCAACACCTTACGATTTGGAGGTGCAAAGTACATGCCGATGCGTGCAGCGTACACATCAGTCTGTTCAATAGTGTTTGCATAGCCAATGCGTAAGACCCAAGCACAGCTACATCCTCCGCATACTCAGGGTTGGTTAGACGAGCATCCAGTAGAACTTTCACTCAGCATAAGTCTGAAAAAACTGAGTTACTTATGATTAAGTCGATTACGAAGCCGAAGGATAGGAGATACACGATGATTCTGGTGAACCCTACTTGTCGTAGGGAATACAAGACATAGGTTCTCGTAGAATCTTGCCCGATCTCGTGAGTCATCGCAAACGGACTTCAATATGAAAAGAAGCTATCCAGGTACTCCCCAAATATGTAGGCAGTGCCACAAGCTGGCACAACCAATGTATTCAAAGGCAGCTTTTAAGTCAAGAGAAACCACTATGGTCGGTCGGTCGCAAGTGTGTTTCTGCTCTACACTTGTGGAAGAGTAAATATATGGTCCATACTACCATAACCAGGTCCAAAGCCAGCCTGGTTTCTAATTATTCGACTCCTACGATGACCAATAGGCCGTCGAAAAATGGTGACAATGATGAGTTTGGAGGCAACGGAAATAAGGCTAGCACCCAGGGGAACTGCATGCAATGTTCGCTGATTTTCTCTGAAGATGCACACGACATCTAAGAACCACGAGTCGGAAGAAACCCATTCGGAGTCTCAAATAATATCATATGGAGCAATAAGTCTAGTCAACAAACAGCCACCTCCATTTTTAGCGAAGGGTAAGAAGTCGTCGGACAAAAAAGCCTTGCTTCGTTGCAACCAGGCAAACACGTGTCGAATCTACTCCAAAGTTGGTGGTGAGATACCGACTTCACACGTCGGCTCAGGCGATCCAGTAAATGGCAATGTTGCAGCAAACATGCTGCAATGCTTTTCTAAAAGTTAAACCAAACAAGCCACTCGACGATGCTCAGAATGGATAATGTATCTTTTGCTGCTGTTGTCCCAGTAACCGAAGGCTTTCATGGACCCGTATCCCGGATGAACTGGAACAGTGCTCAGCTGTTTCCAAGATCACTGGATTTTTCCATCTCACGTGTTCTTGCCACCCGCAGCGTTCTCGGTCGATCCGAAAACTCCTCGTTAGTCGTCGTTTCAGAGTCTTTGCAGACACCCTGACACTCAGTACTATACGCCTTGCTTAGGCTAGGTACTATACGCCTCGCTTAGGCTACTCAAATCCAGTAGATGAATTAATATTTGGGATTCATCAAATTGGGCTAACGGCATGCGTAAAAACCAGCTCACATGGCACAATGAAGAGGATCTCAGTCAGCGTTGGGCTCACAATCCTAATATGCTACTTACAAACAAGTGGCCAATTCGTCATGCTATTGTTGAACTGCAGACTGCGAGTTCAAGTGACAAGTAAGGTGGTTAGTAATCAAGTACTTCGTAGGATCATAAAGCAAAGATGTGCACTCCAGAGCTTATTGGGATTCAAGGTTCGTGCTCCGGACCTTGAACGGATGTGTATCAGAGGTAGATAATAGCAACATGGCCAATCTGGTTCCAAATCGCCAGGTGACATGATGTAAATGTCAGTGATGGAAAGCGGTGTGCTGATTGTGGACGGAAGTTAGTTTCGAAAAGCAATCGCTATTGTCTGTTCGAACTGCAAGGACTCCCAAAAGGAGTTCAACGCATTGATCAGAGTCAGACATGCGACCCACCTGGACATTCATGTCACCAGCAACGATTATGATATCAATACTTTTCGCCAAATGCAAAAGGGCTGGCATCAAGCCAAAGAAACCGTCTTTCATATCCTCCGAATTGTAGTCAGTATTGGCATACATGGAGGCTATGAAAAGCATGTTGTCTTCAAACGGCTATCAGAAACATCAACACAGGTTAGAGGTTGAAACGCACACATGCGACTGATTATTGGTATCCAACCAGTCGAGTAGACTATGATCAGTCTCAGTTGCTGTGGTGTTCTCCGAGCTACGCAACTTGATTGCAAACGTTTGGCCACCATTCGAGGTGGCATCTTGAGTGCAGGATTGATAGCAGTCGGACAGCAGGAGATGGTAGAAAGGCTGTTCGTTGATTACGGACACAGTATATACCTCGAGCTATTGATTTAGTATGGTTAGACATACAAAGAGTGAACTCGCTGTCAGTCGTTTCGGAACCAGGGAGTCCAATATTCGTCATGTCGCTGGTATCTAGTATGCGTGTTTCAGAGACACAGCACAAATTAAGACCAAGGGAGTGAAGAATGGCAGACAGTGCTGCCTGTTTACCGATCTGATTCCGAGTGCGGATGTTAAAAGAATCAATGTGAAATGAGACTCGTGGTTGGATGGACGAGCTACATGTGTCGATGTAAGCACCGTAAGGTCAGCGACAATGTTTTGCTCGATAAACGGGAAAGAAAAGATAAAAACCAGAAGAAGAGTGAGTATTGTCGACAAGATCGAGAGAGCAGATGATCCTCTCTGATTGCCTATTTCAGGAAGGGTTTTGCTCAAAATGTCCTACCTCTAGCCTTTGATTCAAAGAACTGACCCTAAAATCAGTGCGGTAGATGGAATTTTGATTGAGAAACATTACCTGGAGTCTTCAGCCCACTGGCCTGACCCTCAAGGCGGTGAACAGCAAGTGTAGCTCGGGGGTGTGATTAGTACAGTCCCTACGAGATTTACTTGAAGCACACATAGTATTTGAAAATTTAGGACAATTCAAATGTAGTAGCATGGTACGCACCTGCGAGCACGGTCAAGCGCTGGTGTGAGTTGGTTGGTTTGCACCAATTTGATCAAAGTCTGCCTGGCTTTAGGAGAGCAGCATTGAAACCATTGAGCACCAAGAGACAATACGTGTCACTCGTGCTCTATGCCAATCAAGCTGCGAACTTATAACCCGTCAGTTGTAGTCTCCTATAGTTACGTTTTAAGGGAAGTGGATCAAGAACCTCTTACCAACCTGCAAAGAGGACTGTGAGACTGAGTGTGTCTGACCCTTTACCATTGAGTGGCTCTGAAGGCCCTTGGAAAGTGACACCTAGCGTAGTTCAATGGGTCACGGAGATACGCAAACCATCGCACCTGAGTAAGACAAAGTCCCGTCGCGATGAAATGAGTGATCCAGTCTAGGCCGGAATGACACGAAGGTGTACTGTCCAGTGAGGCAAACTAATCCATTTGCCCTACGATGATGGTTGTGAAGACCGTCCATTAAAATAAGAAACAATTCGCAATGTTTACGAGCCACTTACCACATCTTTCAGTTCGTGTGCATTCAGCTGCTTTGCAGAATAATCCGAATAGGTCATATTTAGTCGGGAGAGTAGTAAGTTCCGATTGCTTTCAAGCTCAAACAAAGATGTGATGTAATTGCGCGAGAATATCCCTGGAGTTTCGCCTTGCTTGATCAAATGCGCCACATGATCTAGATAGCGCTCCTCTTCAATTCTAAGGTGAAAAATGAAGCGAGAATGATGTAGAAAAGGTGTATGTGCAATAGATTCATAGGCGAAGTCAACGCGTGAACTGGGCGCAGATAAAGAACAGGAAAAAGTGGAATGAAGCACGCCATGGGTAAAAGTACGACCTCTGAGAAGTTGGTTTGCGAAAATATTTCGATGGGAATCATTGTGAAAGAACTGACGCCATCACAAATGAGTGTCCTGCTTCATAAAAGTAAGAGTAAAAGCAAAACAGAGAGCAACAGCGGGATGCTACGATATGTCTTACCGAGTTACACTTGGTGTGACAAGAAAGAACAGAAAGACGAAGAGGCCTAAATTCAAACAAACATAAGATCTGGGGTGAAATGAGGATGCGATTTGAAGGAACAAGAGTCAAAAATAGCAGCACCAGAAACAGCAGTGTTCGAACAATTGATCTCAGTGAATAGATACCAACAGTCGAATTATAAAAAAGAGATAACTAAGCGGTTGGACAATATGGAGCACACAAGATCACCGATCAATGGAGGTAGTGTTGCACACATCATGTGTGCACGCATAAGTGGTCGAACATAAACATGCACAAACATAGACCGGAAGCCAGCTTTGTCGATGGTAGACTAAGCCGAACAGTCAAGGATGTAACAGTATGAAGTATTCATTGGAAACGATTCAACGTAATGCCCAAACCGATCAATGCTGTCAGTTTGATGGCAATTAGTGTGGATAATTGCAATTCGAGGTGTGGATACGAGAGTTGGGTTGTGCGTCGTGTTGGATGTTTTGGTTACAGTCGTTTTGTCACCAGATTAGGCAATTTTATGGGTGCAACCCAACATCCACATTCCGTTGAATCCAATTGATGAAAATTATAATCAGGCCGGAGCACAAATCACGTCTTTTCATACTTATGAAAGTTGCTGGACACCAAGAGGTGAATAACGTAAGCATCGAATAAAGAATAAGGGAAAAAAATTGTGTCTGATCCATCAACCATCACACGGTAGTATGTGAACGATTATGAAGATGAGCTGGCAAACAGCGCGATGGATTGTTGTTGGCTGTTGGCTTATTGCGTAGTGCGCAAACCAGGGGTCAGTGGCACCAACGGAGTTCGTTATACCTGCCTTCCAGCACATAGTAATTAAAAAAGGGTGAACGTCACAAATTGAATCACAAAGTCTCACCTCCTTTTAGATTCCTTGACGATAGACACCGATTTCGTCGACGTGTCCGTCCCAGGGTTAGCTGATAAAGTGGGTATAAAATGGAAGGAAGTTAAAAACTAAAGCGAGTTTGTGTACTACAGCAGAATGAGGAGTAAGTTATTACAAGATCGGATCAAGGAAAAAATAAAGAGGGTTGCAAAGTGAAGATGAAAATAGATGATGCTGGTTAGATCAGCGATAGAATGCTGTGTTTTGGCGCATTTTGAGTAAACTAGATGGCGCAAAATAAATGCCTATAAAGAAACGAGAGGGGTCGTGGCTAGGAAAATGTGAAAATACATAAAATGCTAACTGGCAAACAAGAGACATTGGATGGGTAAAAAACAACGCAATGAAGTGATGGCCTACCTAAATTGAAAACACTACCCAGTAGTACTGAAAGCGGGGAATTCCAGTTGATCATTTGGCTGGGTCGTCTGTCGTCCCTACCGTTGAATGGGGTCTCGCCGGAGAGTGCGGACAAAGAAAGTCTTCTCAAAGTGCGTAATGTTTGTCCAGTCGAGAGGGTAGGAAAGGGTGACCCGCTATGCCGCTTGTGAGATGCGTTGTCAAGTTGATTTGCAGTTAGCTAAAAGATGAACGATGGGAAAAACAAAAGCAATAATCACTTTGACCACAAATATGAGGAATGCAAAAATATGCGAAAAATGACGCCATAAACGCCAGTGTCCAATAACACGAAGTGCAGTAGGACCAGTGGGAACAGTGAGTTGTAACGAAGGTAACACGCGCCGATGTGGATACGTTCAATACTAACAGACCATCGCAATGAGGCTGGACCTTACCGTGGTGCGATGGCTTGTGTGCCTCAGTGATCCATTGAGCTATGATGGGTGGTGCTTTTTTCGCACCTTCAGAGCCATTCATACCAGATTGGTCAATGGTTAGAGGCCAGACAAACTCAGCCACCTGGACCTGCAAGTTGCGGGTTGGAATGAGGGTGGCTCCTTATTCCTTAAAACGGACTCCTTGTAGCCCAACGCCAAACCCGCTGCCTTGCGGTCAGGTTTTTGAACCAAAGGCTTCGGTTGAGAATCCTAATCGTTCTCCTGTCTAGGCCTGACAGTATCCTGCCCACGCAATACTATGAAGTTCACTTCAAACAAATTTTTGATGCTCTGGCCACCGCAGAGGATAATCAACGGTGCCCTATCTGCTGCATCGAGCACGGTGGATAGGGGTTTGGATGCTACTGCTCAAGCTAACCCATCTTCTTATTCCCCTTCTTGCGCTTTTTCACCCTTATCGTCCCGTTCCAGCTTCACTTTTATCCCCCATGTTTTCAACCCCCCAATTCTCGGCCCTCCTCCACCTTGCTTCATTAGTCGCTTGTCTTTTAGTTTCAACTCACATGTGAACGCAGAGCGTCATTCCTGCACTGTCAACAGGCCCATGTCCAAGCAAGCGGCCCATTCCAGTTTATTGGCTTCCATTTGGAGCCCCCGATCCTCCTTCAGACTGGCATGCCTCAATGTTCGCACATTGCTTCAGATCGGTAAACAGGCAGCACTTGCCCGAACATTAGAGACCCTCTCGATCCATATCTGCTGCTTATCGGAGACCCGCCATGCAAGACTCGAGCTCTGTACTCACTCTGCGATCCCCTTCAGGTGACACTAGCAGCACTTTCTCATTGCGCCTATCCAATGACGATGAAGCTTCGAGCACCGGCCAAGCCGGTGTTGGCATTGCCCTGAGTCCCCGGACTGAAGCTGCTCTGGTTGATTGGATTTTAATCAGTAGCCGGGTGTGTGCGGCCCGCTTGGTTGGCTCGTTCAAAGCTTCAAAGTCACGTGGGACTAACAGGTGTCTGTTCGTTATCGCTGCCTATACACTGGCATACTCTGGCGATGATTCGGTAAAATACGATTTCTACGGTCAACTGAACGAGCTCCTTCGTCACAGAAGAAGCTCGGACACTGTAGTGCTGGACACTGGTAGTGCTGGATCTGAAGGCTCAAGTTGGAAAATTATCCACAGATGAGCTGCATCTGGGTGGCCAACATGGTATAGGATCCCGTAATGATAACGGTGAGCGGTTACTTCATTTGGGTGAGGATGCTCGCTTATTTCTTGAAAGCACTAACTTCCGACACAGCACCCGCCAGAGGGTGACTTGGCGCCCACCAGCCTCGAACCAGCTATGGACGCAAATCGATCACATTGCGATAAGTTACTGCTGGAGAGGCTGCGTCCAGAACTGTCGCTCGATTTGGAGTACAGGTGTTGACACCGATCATGCACTTGTATGTGCTGACCTGCGGATGCGCTTTGGCGGACGCCCGCGACGATGTTGTGAGCGCATTGACACCGGCAGACTGGTGAAGCCAGCTGTGCTGAATGTCTATCAAATTACGCTGTCATCCGAGTTGGATAAACGCTCACTGGATGCAATTGAAGCTCACTGCTCTCATATGCAACAGGCCTTACTAGCAGCAGGCAAATCCTCATGTGGTTTGTCTAATCGCCAACATGAACATTGGGTCTCTTCACAGTCTCTGGAACTTATCGATGCTCGCCGGCATAATCTGGCTGGAAGCGAACACAATGAAATTCACAAAGAGCTCCGGGCGAAACACCGTGCTAGCCTGAAGAGAGACCGCGAATCCTGGTGGTCTCTTCGTGCAACAGAGATGGAAATGGCCGCTGCCCTTGGTAACCATCGTAAATTATTCCGTCTGATACGGGAAACGGGCAGCAGCAGACGTGGTGTTAGTGAAACTATACGTGACGAGAGTGGACAGCCCAGCCACAACTGGTCAAAACGTCTGGAACGTGGGGCTGAGCACTTTAAAAGACAATTTAATCGGTCGGGATTGTTAGATTTTTCGCCGACCAGTGATCGCCCTGCTCCGTGGGCTGTTCCTTTGGATCTACCCTCTGGCTCAGAAGTCGAACGTGAGATCAAAAGGTTGAAGTTAAATAAAGTCGCGGGACCTGATGATCTTCCTCCAGCCCTCTTCAAATTTGGGGGACCTCGTGTGGATGATTTACGCGAGTTAATAGTGAGACTGTGGGAGCAGGAAACTGTCCCAACCGATTGGAGCCGCTCCATCATAGTCCCAATTTTCAAAGGAGGCTCACGATCGGAATGCGGCAGCCGTAGAGGAATCAGTCTGATCTCCATCGCCTCCAAATTGTTTGCCTATGTCATCCTTCACAGACTGACTGGCACTCGTGAAAGCCAGATTCGCGAAGAGCAAGCTGGATTCCGTCGAGGTCGTGGCTGCATTGACCACATCTTCACCTTGCGTCAGTTGTTGGAGCACTGTCACATATATTGGCGTCCCACCATTGTCGTGTTCCTCGATATCAAAGGTACATTCGATTCGGTGGATAGACATGCACTTTGGGACTGTCTACTCAGGAAAGGTGTACCTGAGAAATATGTGAATATTATCCGAGCATTGTATGCGCGTAGCTCGGGCAGAGTAAGGGCTTACGGCAAGTTGTCGTCGCCATTTAATATCTCCAGCGGCGTGAGACAAGGATGCCCGCTGTCACCTTTCCTCTTCAACTTCGCTGTTGACGAAGTCATGGAAATCGCGTTCACAGGACACGACTTGGAAGGTATGGAGCTAGACACAGGAGAACGACTTCCTGACTTAGAGTATGCTGATGATATTGCCCTAATCTGTGACAGCTCACAAATGTGCCAAGCCGCACTGGACAGATTAGATCTAGCTGTCCGTCACTTCGGGCTTTGCTTCGCACCCTTGAAGTGCAAAGCGTTTTTTCAAGATTGGTCTGGACCGCCTCCTACGCTGACCCTTGTTGGGGATCAGCTAGAAGTCGTTCAGAAATTCCACTACCTGGGAAGTTGTATCAGCGCCCGTGGGATTGAAGATGAAAACACGAGTCATATAGCAAAAGCTCGGGGCGCTATTACTAACCTTCGCCACTTATGGCGCCGGCGCGACATCGCTCTCACCCTGAAGGGTAGAGTGTACAATGCAGCAGTACGTTCGACCCTACTGTACGGTTGTGAAACCTGGCCGCTTAAAGCAGCGAACCTGAAGAGGCTAGTTACGTTCCACCACCGGTGCCTTCGTAATTTAGCTCACATCTGGTGGGAACACCGCGTGAGCAACGAGCGTGTCCGACGCCTTGTTTATGGCATAGGAAAAGGAAATGAATCGCTCAGCACCGTTATTTCTCGCACCAGGCTCCGATGGCTCGGCCACGTGTTACGCATGCCAGCCCACCGACTTCCGCGACGTGTGTTGTTTGCGCGCCCGGGGGGGTGGATGGAAGAAGAGGAGGGGTGGCCAAGCGATGACTTGGTCGAGAGGAATGAAGGCCCTCACTTCTGAGCTGGCCTCGGTTGGAGCGTCTCGGCTCCCTGGTTGGGGTCCAAAAAACGATGAACACGTTTGGTTGGACACACTTGCTGATATGGGTAGGAGCTGACCTCAGTGGCGTTCGTGCTGTGAGTTTCTTTGTCCCACCCCATCCCTCTTAGCCTCCCTCTCCAACCACGATCTCATCATTTAGCCATATATAATTTTGCATAATAATATTTTTGGGTGCACAGCAGCCGGCTGGTAGCTTACCGGAACGATGCCCATCCGCTACCGGTAGCTCAGCCAGCTTGCACCAGTTGCTTTTTTTCTCCTTTTTTTCTATGTATTGCGGCACAGTAGCTGAGGTGTTTCCCACCTTTAGCTAACGTGTATGATGATGATGATGAATACTAACAGAATGTGTTTCTAAGGGGAAAACGAACTGCAGCGGACGTAGCAACTGTAATACTGACTTGGTACCACTGGCAAATGAGCTTGGTAACATGGAAGCGGGTACGTAATTGAAGATATCCTTTTGATTCTCCCACCTCGAAGTAGTGAGTCATTTACACTGCAAACGAAGCGGCATCCTGGTCTGTACTCGCCTTTGCTTAACCGTAACAAGCCCACTTCTTTCTCGCTAGCGCTGGGGACTAGAAGTGCGCGTCAATCGGTCGGCATAGTCGTTGTGCTTGTCAATGAATCGGCAAAAGTTGGGTGTGTGCGGCTAATCGCGATTGTTTCCGGGGTTGTTGCAATCGGTTCGTCCGTCTACACTACGCAAGGGGCATTTGTGAGAGCGATTTACGCGTTGTTAGGGTTAGCCACGAGCGAAGCTTAGTGCCTGGGGTCACCGAACTAGGCCGAATTGGTTACTGGTGCCCAATCCAGAACAGGGTAGGACGAGTCTATTGGAAATCTACAGAGACGTTAGTACAAATGGAGAACAAGATGGGTTGAGAAGCCATTCCCGAAGGAACAGCTAGATATGGTGCTAGTATGTCATTCGAAGTCCGCGATAATTTGTTGTCGAGTAGAGAACTGAAGGATCAAAAAACAGACCGAGTTTGCTGGCAGGCAGTACTCCCCGGCTGTCCGGTTCGACTCAGAGGCTTCGCTCGGTGGTTTTGGTCTTTCAACCATGATGTGTAATCTAACTCATAAATAAAGAAGCATAATAAAAATTCTTCGAGACCGATTAGAGCTATCAACTCGAGAGTTGGATCCACTACGCAACAGGTAGCACGTGTAGCTCGAGAAAGAGAGCCAGCAGTATCAGAGTGGG